GTCCATCCATCCTCCATCCGCCCATCCATCCTGTATTGGTTACCTGTTGTATACTGGAATTACTCATCTGGAAACTTGGGTATGTCATCGAATAGCACAAACAGTCCCGAACATTTTCATCGTCCCAGAGAGCCTCTCGTCACCAGCGGCGACGCCCCATCCCGTCCGCAGCCCTGGTGGCCGCCCTTCTTACTCTGTCTCTGCAGAATCGCGGATTCCTGGCTCGTTGTGTGAATGGGATCACACAGCGTGTGGCCCTTCGTGACTGGTTTCTTTCCCTCCTCTTTCTGTTTTCATGGTTCTCAGGTCTTGTTCGGTTTTCCTGGGCACCAGCGCCTCATCCCTTTTTACGGTCGAGTCCTAGCCCGCGGCACGGCGGCACGCTCCCTTCCGTCCTCAGATGACGGACGTGTGGGTTATTTCCGCTCCCTGACATTATGAATAATGCCAATATTTTTCATGACACTAACACGAGAAGATATTTTTTCCCCCATTTTGTGGGCTGACTTTTCACTTTTTTAACAGTGTCCTTTGAAGCACAAAAGTTTTTAGTTTTGACAAAAGTTCAGTTTGTCTACCCTGTTTGTTGTTCCTTATGTGAAAGTGACTTTGGATTGAAGACTCAGAAGAGGAAGAAAAATCAGTGCATCGGCCCTGCGGTGGGAGGCGCGGGGGTCAGTGCTGAGGGCCGGGGAGCAGCAGGCCCCCGGCTTAGCTGAGGCTGTCGCCCGAGCTAGGTTTGAGCAGGCAATGGTCCTGCCACGGGGCCCCAGGGACTGGGGACTAGTTGAGAGGCTGTGGGAATCAGAGCAAAGGACAAGGTGACTGGAGCCAGGCCCAAGGATGTGAGTCCTGTGTCCTTCACCCATGTCTCCTGTCACACCTGCAACACTGCCGCCTCTGAGCTCGCTTCCCCTAGGACCTTGCTTCCCGTCTTCGGGCCTCAGAGAAGCCCCCTCCGAGCCAGCCCCGGCCCCTGCCCTGCGCACAGGCGTGGCCCAGGCCCCACCTAAGGTGGCCGCCTTTCCGTGCTCGCGGCCTAAACCTCTCTGCCCCCCCCACTCCCATCTTCCCTCCCCCCCCACTCTACCTCTCCCCACACCTCCCCTCTCCTTCCCCCAGTCCTACACCTCCACAGTGCCCCCCATTCACTGGTTTGCCCCTCTAGACATCTCCGTCGGCGTACAAACTGCTCGACGACCCCCGCCACCATCGCCAAAAAGCTTTTTTTTACTTTATGCTGCTTCTCCACCAGCTTCCATTCCATTTCTCTGGTTTCTTGTCCCAAACCCTGCAAAGCTGTGTCCGTGTTTGTCCTCTGCTGCTGCCACACACACCCTCCAGTCAGACCTTGCATCCTGCCCCCCAGCGTCAGGGGCCCTGGGCCTTCTCTGTGGAGCCCCCGTTCTTGGGGCTTGGTCACCACCTCCTTCCACAGGGACACCCCACAGCCTGGGCCTCTCACCTCCCAGTGCCTGCTGCCACCCGCCGTGCCGCAGGTGGGTGCCCCCCTGGGTGCTGGCCCAGCTCTCCCTCCCCCACTGGGGACCTCCTGGGACCGCCTGGGACCGTCTCAGGCTCCGCTCTCGGATTGCTGCCCCCTTCATTCTGAGGACTTCTGGGGGCAAGTCTGGACTGCAGCCGGCAGCCACCGAGTGTGACTGCTCATTCCTGACCCGGGGCCGCCCCACTTGGCTGTGCTTGGCTGCGGGTCCCTTGCAGAGTTTAAACCGTGGAGCAGTGAGGGTTTCCTGCCTGTACTTGCTATGTTCTAGGGAATAAATTTTTTATAGTGAACATGTAATAATTAAAGAGAGTTAATAGAAACCTTCGTTCGTATGCAGTTCAATTCATATGATTGGTGAATGCTCATTACTTCTTAAAAAAACACAGTAAAAATCTAAAGGGCAGATGGCCCCGAGCTCAGCTCACACTGCACCAAACGCAGCATCGTGCCCTTGTGCCCTCGTGGTGCTGGGGCAGATGGCCCCTCGCCTCCTGTCTCCCCTGCCCTGCTCCTACCCGCTCCTCAGCACCAGCCCATGCTGCTCAGTCCCTTGTCCTTCCATGCAGCAAAGCCTGGTTAGCCCTGACTCTGCACCGGTCACTGCAGCATGGGGTCCCCAAGGCCCTTCCCAGGGCCGCGTGGTCGGACCGTCTCCACACGAATGCCAAAACGTGATCGCCTTTTTCCTTCTCATTCTGTCACGCGTATAGAGCACGTTTCTAGAGGCTGCCTGTGTGACATGTGACACTGCCATAGACTGAACACAGGAAGTGTGAACATCCAGCACTGTTAAGCCAGAAAAGGTATTTGCAAACAGAAAAGAATGTCACTGTTGTCTCTTTTTTTTGGTTTTGAAAAATACTTTTCATAAAAATGTTTATGTTAAAGAATAATGGGTTTATTGGTTTTTTTTTTAAGAAGTGCCAACAGTTTTTAGGTTTTCCGTTTTCTCTAGTGTTGATGGCCCTGGGACTGCGAGGTGGGGCCTGTGCTTCACCGTGCGCTGCGGACCTGGTAGCACAGGACCGAGCGAGGGCGCGAGACCCCTGTTCCCAGCAGGACGCTTGGAAACACGTGTGGTGTCACGTGCTTCCAAGCGTCCTGCTGCTTGGGTCTCTTTACCAGGCGCAGCCTTTCTGCCCAGACGGGGGTTTTGAACGAAGTCCGGCTGCGCGTCCGCGTCCCCGCGTTGTGTCGGCGCGTGGCCGGGCGGCGTCACGGGCGGGGTTTCTCAAGCTCTGCGTCGGGGTCGGGATGCGGCACCCCTGGAACCTGCCTGTGGCCCTCTGCACGCAGCCTGCACGCACTCTCCCGGCCACCAGGTGGTGCCCACTCCCGTTCGGAGGTGTCCTGAGAACAAGGGGCTGCGTGTTTACGGGAACCGCCTTTTGCCGCTTTACGATGACCTACTTTGAAGTCAGGGCGCTTAGCAAAGGGTGTTGCCTTTCGGGGAGCGTGGCCTCACTCCCCGTGGGTGGGTCCTCGGAGGTGCAGAGCCCTTCTCGCCAGCAGTTGTAACTCAGGTGGCCCTTGGTGACCGGCAGACGGCCGCCGTGCCCTCGCGGGTCTCCCCGCCCTGCCCACTGCGCCGCTGCTCTGCGCCGGCGCGGTTCAGACAGGATGGGTGCCAGGCCGCAGGCTTCTCCTCTGTCCCGTCCCACGTTACCTCCCACCTTATTGTCGGGGGAGACTGTGCAGCGTGAGCTGCCGGGGTGGCTCTTGGGGCTCTGGCCCCAGGTCGCGGCCAGTCACTGTGGCCCCACCCCAGGCCCCGGCTCCTGGGCAGCCCGGCGGCCTCACGGTGTCGTGGGGCCTCTCCAGAGAAGCTGGACACCCAGCACCTCACAGTGAGGCCGGCGGCCCAGGCTCTGCCCTGGGGAGTCTGTAGCCAAGATTGCCAGTGCTTTTCAGTGCGCTGAGAACTTCTTTCTTGCTCCAAAAAAAGTTAAGGCTCTTCCTCTCTTGCTAGTAACTGTGAAAAGTATGTGTCAGTTGAGAGGCCAGACAGCGACAGTGCTACCGTGAATCTGGCAACGCCACCCACAGGAGAGAATAGACCGTGTGTGTGTGTGTGTGGTGGCCCCATGGCCATACGGGGCGGGTTGGCGAGTATGTGGCTCCTCCTTGGTGCCTCCTTTGTCCCCAGGAGACTGCGGTTGAAGCCGCCGATCTAGGGCAGAAGGCTCTTTTGTCCTGGAATAGAGCCTGGAGTCCCCACTAACGGGTGACAGATGCAAGCCCTAAAACACCCAGTTGCTTCTCGCAGGGTGTGGGTCTCAGCCCTGAGCTGGAGAGGAGAGCATGGGAACTGAGAGCAGCGGCCGTTTTCTGGACAGTGGCAGGGCCGTGACGACAGCCAGCGTCTGTCACCCATGGGCACCCCAGTCTTTTCACACAGTGTGTTTTCAGAAGCAACTTCTGGGAGCCCAGAGACCCGAACCAGGACTGGAACCTTTACTGGCGTCTTCAGAGGACATTGTGGTGGCGAGAGTCGAACCCACCATCAGTCTGCGGGCCCCTCTCCCTCCCCGCTTTCCGCTCTGAGTCCTTCATATGAACGGG